TAGATGGATCCAGTTTATCTTAGAAAGGAACTGAAGCTGGCTTTTTGGAGAAGCTTTTTTTATTTCAACCGGCCTCTAGAATTCTAGTATACTAGTGAGAATGCGTTCAAATGACGCACCAGCTCAAAAACAAGATGGCGGATGGGGGCCTCAGATGCTCACATGTTTAGATCAGATTAATCCGTGATACATTTATCGAATGTGTCTGATGTCAACGCACGGAAGACGATCGTTTTTCTATATTTTTTCCCGGTGGAGTAGTTGTCTCAAAATTTATAGTTGAAATTTTAGTTAGCGAGTTATTTCATCTCAACGGCGCCCTTCTTATTCTTTGGGGAACTTAAAAACGCGCCTACATGGAAAACAGCTGAACACTTCTCTGATACGAATGTATTAGAGCTTTTCCTCTCGTTTTCTTCCATTGATGAAACTTTGCATTACAAAATTTTAATTTTAATTTTAATTTTAATAAACTACAGTCTATACGTGCTAGTCCATTTATTTTTGATCAAGAGGGTTAAATATTTTCTAAGTTTTTGTCTCAGTATGGCAACTATGGAACACTAAAAGATCTGTGCAGCTGATCCAACAGGACCCAAAACACGACCTGCAGCCGTATAAGTAGGAGGATTTTACGACGACCTGCTGAAGAGATTTGCAAAATGGGTTTGTGGGTTTTCGGCTATTCCCGCCCTCACTTTTTTCCCCATTCAGAATGGGAGAGAAAACATGCCCCACAAATGGATCCTACAATTTTTTTACTTCGGAAGGATGAGCGGACACTCCTCGTTTTATGTTGATTTTCTAATCTGGGTTATTCAGCAGCCTTGAGAGAGAAAAGATTGGATGCTCTCTGATAGTCTCTGGGGCACCGCCACTCTCGTTTCTGGCAGGTGCTCGTAAATGAAAATGCAAGTTTTACCTTTGTCTTCGTTCCTGCCTTAATGGAGGGGTGGGCATGATTTACTTTCCATCTCTGTGATGTTCATCAATTAAAAGCCTTTGAATTTGCATGATTTATTACTTCGTGGGGGCACAAAGTTCGTTCAGACGGACCGAACAGTTCAGTTGAAATGACTGAACTGGGTGCACTAACACTGATTCGTTGGTTTTGACTGTTTGTTGTGATTTTCAACGACCATTCGCTCATACAACTGATTTTTTCACCTCCACGAAAAAGTCTTGTATGGATGGAAAAAGCGCAAGAGCGCTCAGCCCGAATTGCTCGGTTCTGTAATGTGAACTATTTATTTTCTTTGTAAGGTAATAAGACTCCTCAAATGATAGGGAATATTGACTGTACCAGAATTCATTATGGTATTTTAATTTTAATCATTACAAATTCTTAATTTTCTCAAAATCAATGATGATGATCGCCAGCTCCCTAACCTACCAAAATTCTAATTAGTATTCAAGAAGTTTTGAAGGAATAAAATACGAACAATTAAATTATTTTTACGAAGAAAAGCCAATTTGGGAGCACCAATTATTAAACAAACAAGTCAATTACCAAAACTTCCATACATTCAAGTCGCTTTTACAGCGAGCCCGGGCGTTCTGCGACACCTAATCGTCATTCTGGTCTATCGATCCATCTGGTAAATTGCATCTTGTAATTTCTTCTTGAATGCCACCTATCCACGATTTCGCTGGACGTCCCCCACGTCTCCTCCCTGGAGGAACCCAATCTAGTACCTTCTTAGCCAATCTGTCATCCGCCATTCGTTGAACATAACCATACCAGACAAGCTGTTTAGTCATAATTTCATGCACGATATTCAGCTCGGTGTTCATGATCTCACGGACTCATTCGTTCCTTCCGTAATCCCTCCTTGAGATTCCGGCTGATCCTCGCCAGCAATCCATCTCAGTTGCCTTAAGAATCCTTTTGGTGCGATCTTTCCAAATATTCAGACGCAAAACCCCCATTATCCAAACAAAGATTCTCCCCTTTTATCGACGAGCAGGGGCGGACTGGGAGTCGAAAAGTTAGGAGACGACGTAAATGTGGGGGCCCCTCCTGTCGGTCGGGGGCCCCTCTAAGAAGGTCCGGGGGCCCTCCTCCGGAAAATTCTGAAAATTCCACACTTTTTAAACGCAATTTTAAGCATTATTGGAGTTAAATTCTATAGTACTTGAACTTCAAAATAACCCTTTCTCAGGATTCTTCGGGGGCCTTTTCATCACATAAGCTTTAGGCGACCTTTCATGTCTCTTAGAAACAAATTTTCAAGGATTTTGGAGCCCTTTAGTAACTGAAAAGGATAGGAAAATTACAACATTGGGGGGAAAAAACGATGACTCGAAAAAAATTCGCGCGAGGGCCTCTTCGGGACCTCCGCGGCAAATTTTTAGGAGGCGATCGCCTCCCTGCCCCCCTCCCCCATGGCCACTCCGCCCCTGTCGACAAGAAAGAGAGCAAGGGATGTCAAATGAAGGGGTAGAGTACCCCTCGTTGCGGGGAAGAGGGAGTGGAATGGGTGCCCCGTTGTCCGATGCGTGGACGTGGACGTAGAACGTAACGCTCGATGGGTTTCGGGGCTGGGGGCGCAGCGCGTGGCACAAGGATGAGCAACGGCGTGCGGCTCTGTTTTCACAGATCTTTTAACCTGTCATTTAGCTCAATCGCATTACGCACACTCACTCAGCGTAATCACATCGTAACACCACCACATCCATGGCTCGAGCCTCGCTTGGATTGGGCGAGTGCGAAGTCGCCAGCGTAACGGACGATGGCCACCCGGTGGCTCCGTTGTCAGGTTCACGCATCTGTGAGTCCACTTCCATAACATAACATGGCTCTTGGGTATGGACTAACCAACCCTTACGGTCAAATGCAGATTGAAAAATCTCTGTCCATCCGTATGCTTCTCCACTGGAAAAAAAAATTGGTCATGTGAACAGAACGTTCGGTGTTCCATATCATCCTAAATATTCGGTTTGTCAAACTGAACTTTCGGTTTGTCAAACTGATCTTTCGGTTTTTCACAGTGATCTTTCGGTTTGTCAAACTGAACTTTCGGTTTGTGTAACCAAACATTCGGCATACATGAACACACTTAGTTTGTCAGTTCACTTTACCGCATAAGTTCGGTTACACGAACCGAAAGCTCAGTTTGACGAACCGGAAGTTCAGTTTGACGAACCGAATTAGTTGGGATGGTATGGAATACCGAACTTTTTTTCCAGTGTCGTTTCAATAAGATTACTCCACTGAAAAAAAAGTTACGGGCTATGTAGACATACCGCCCGCGTTCCGGGCTCAGAGGCCGGAAGTTCCGGGTGCTGGATGCAAAATGAAATTGCACATAAAATTCCATTTTACTGAAATTGTGAAATTTCGTTATCAATGTAATAACTCCAGTATTGATAGGACATTTTTTAATCTCAAATCATACAGCAGTGCGAACTGCGAACTAACCTTCGGCAACGGATTGAACAATCAGAGGCGCTCAAATCCAGGCATTGACCAATCAGAGGCCCTCAAATAAAAAGTGATTGTTTCGTTATACTTGTACGTGTAATTTTGAGAAAAAGTTCAAACATCACTTTGGACCCGAATAAATCCTTAATTGCGTAATGATTGAGCGATTTCAACTAATCAAGTAATGAAAAGTCAACTCATTTCGCTATGGCAATGATTAAATAGATAGTTCATTGGCTTTAAAGAGCTGAAAAATTTTTAATGGCAATTCATTTTTTCAACATAGTTCCCGCCACAAGACGGCTTTGAAAATTACCCACAATTCAATGGAGCATTCATCATGTGTCAGCCGCGGAGTTAGGCAACCAGATCATGAAGCACGATATACACATACAGCGCTTAATTAAAGTGATATTAAATGATATATTTCCAGGTTTTACACGGCAACACCGCGCATTAGGGATGAACCATGGTCAGAGAACCGTGTCGCGGGGCCGCAGCGTTTGCCTGACAACGAAATTAAATTACTCACGATTGTAATTTTAGATTGGTCGACTGCACGCTCCTTTTGATTTGTGACCACAAAAAAGGGGTGTAATTACGGATATTCTTGTCCTCCCCTATACCTCCGAAACAAAACAAAATTTGATCCGAAAATGCGCAAAAAATGTTGACTGTTATGTCTATACGCTCGTACTGCTTAGGTATCGATGAATGTGACGAAAACACAAATCGCAATTCGTCGCTCCTTTGACGTAAGGATTATCTCCATTCCCACGTGAGTTCCAAAAAGCATTGCTTTATATGGATACCAGGGCTCACGAGAAAATTGGGATACGCCTTTACGTGATGGGGTGACGAATTGTATGCTTAAAAATCTCCGCTCCAACTTCATTTCTCTGAGAGGGTGATTCTAGACATTACGAAATCTGTAGAGAATATTCTTGAGAAGGCAAAGAAAAATCTCACAATTTTTGTGCATACCAAAGATGATTCGAGACCACATAAATTCCTAAAAAATCAAATACAGACGGAAAACTGCCTCGTTGCAAACCGAGGCACCTGATTTTACAGTTTCACCATCAGGATGTGGTGAGCTATACAAAAAATAAGTCGGTAAAGTTGGGAAAATGGCAACACTGTTTTTAATTTAAATGCTCAAATCACGTGCATGTTATTTCTACAGTCGAAACACAAAAAACGCACTGTCATGTTTTTCAGTATCAAAGATTCTGTTTGGATTCTAAAAAAGGGAAGTGACGCTCATCCTCACATACAATGTGTCGAATGTCGGAAACTGATAAGTAATGAACTGAGCACCAGGCTCAAGCTTTTATGCAAGAATTGCAGCATGCACCATCTCAACGATGAGAATCATAATTACTACATATGTAATTTATTGTCACCATTAGCGAGGCGTCAATGATCGATTATCGATTTTTTTCCATTTGAAGCTGTAGAAACGAATCGATTATTAAGGTGTTCGAACAATCTGTTTATCGATCCTTTTTCATAGGTTTAAATGACATATCACAACGCATCACACAGAGCAGTGAAGCACACCACGCCACTGCTTATCACTATTTCCTGTGCGATTGTCCTGAGACTTATATGAGCAATGACCTTCCTTGATGAAATTTTATCCGCTTATTTTGGTTCATTGTTGCTTCAGCCACAAGTTACATCATGTAGACCGTTCAGTGTTTTCTTTTAATAATTTGATTTATGGTGTGCTTTTCCTTTCTGCGTCATTTTAGCGCCTTAATGAATATTTGAAATGTGGGGTCATTTGCATGATTGAAATTTTAAAACAGTGTCGAAAAAAGTTATTCTCAAAGAATTCAAACATTTACAGTTTGAATTACATTACATTTTAAATGAGTGAAAAAATAAAAGCAAGCAAGTGTTAAAACCAACGGCCTCGGTCGAGAGACTTTATTCGTGAGGAAAGCTTACCTACTTGCACTGTAGGTAGGACATCTTCGTTCCAAACCTGTAAAGCATCGACGCGCAATGTCGGTGACAAAAATCACGAAACACATTTATATCAACATCTAGGCCGAGATGTGGATCTAGATTTCTCCTACTTTGGGACAGCCTCGTTGTTCGGAAAAATTCTCACTCAATTCCGGCTACGATGCAAAGACATTCTCATTCGAAGTTTCGGAGGTGAGTTAAACATTTGAGTCTCTCGGTGATCCTGGAGAAACTTTTTCAAATGTCTCATTTTCAGTTTTTTAAGGATCTGGTATGTTGAAATATATGTCACCTACAGCGGCCAGTTAAATAGTCAATCTCTGTCGTTTTTTAATTTAAGTTGCCCCCGAGAAACTTGTACCCGAGTTTTATCAATAGACTTTTTTAAGGTGTATCTTTTCATTTGAAATGAATGAAAATAGTCTCAGCGCATGGAAGAAGTTCAGGATGAGAGCGATCGTCATCGGGTTGGGTTGAAAAATCTGAATTTAAGATTTCGGTGAAAAAATGTCTCTAAGTAGTATTCTGCGTGATATTGTGAAAAGAAAACAAATATCAACTGCTTATATTTGTACCTCGTATCGCGGTCCATTGCGAATAGTTTAGTGTCAATAAACAGCGTATATTGTTGCAATATAATCCGGAACATTCGTACGATGGAAGTGATGGATTGGAATTTTAAATAGTTTCTTTCCAAAACTAAGTTCCCGGCTTCGAAAACTGTAAACTGCCACGGTTACAGTTTAGTTGGATATTTTTGGGCCCTTTCCTGTTCCATGAAACCAAAATGTTTTCAGAGCTTTCTTTTTTGCTCTGGTCGCGTCCTCTCTGTTTCAGGGTTTTGCGGACCAAGCTTACTTTTCTCGTCGACTGTCACTTATACAAATTTCAATTTGACTCTTTTCAGGTCTCGATCCAAGTTTCGGTCGTGGTCCTCGACTTCAAGTTCTTGTAGCAGTTCCAATTCAAGATCTTGCTCACCAAGAGAAAGTGATTTCTCCGATGACGAAGAAAGCAAATCGCTATCACAAAATAATTCCTTCAAACATTTTAAAATGTCTTCAAACTCCGAACAGCCTTGGAGCCTCAGAGGGCCGACAAGTTCTTCGAATCTAATCAGAGAAAAAATTTACACCAATTGGCAGTCTGGGCTCCAAAAATCTCTCACTCCGTCCAAAGTTCCATCAAACAGACGGACTGAGAATTCAAGAAAAGAAAATAAAGCTTCCTCGGACGATCTACGGGCATTTTTGACACTTAAGCGTAGAATGTTCAATTTAACAACTCATGATCTCAACATGGTAAGTATAAAAATAATGTATCACCGGGAGGTTCGCCCTCTGGTCGCTCCACGGCCCAGCCCCTGGAGATTTACGTCACTGTCAGTCCGGTAAGAATTATCGAGAAAGTTTGAAAAATGCAATGCAGCAAAAAAATTGAATTTGAAAATGATGCCGTGCTAAGGGAGAACGTCCTAAGAGCCATCAGGCGTTGCCACATTTCCCTCGACAATATACGTATTTACAAGGTAATTTGTGAATATCTCTACTGATTTTACAGAGGACTTCATTCGTAATTTGATCTAAAAAGTCAGAAAATTTTAAGAAAAAACATTTATGACTTTCCTCAAAAATTAATAGTTTCTGAGAAGAAGTTTGGCAACATTTGAATGCTCACACGGCGTTTCTTCTTAGCAAAGCAGGATGGTGTGATTATGAAAGGAATAATTAACAATAATTGGACTACATTTTTCGATAAGGGACTAATAATGTATGCTCTTATCAGACCCAAGTGAAGTGGAATAAGTATTATCCTAATTTGTCTAACCTTAAAAATTGTATTTTAGTTGCGATTCAGTTTAAGATCCATACCGTCATTTTCCGTTACCCCTTTTGGAATTGAAATCATCCAAGAATATCCAGTGTGATTTCTTCTAGGCTCCTTATTTGACGGAGGGAAAACATTATAAACAAAATAAGGCGATATGAACGAGCTGAGATGCCTTTCCAAAAGACAATCTCGACTCTTGAATAGTGCGCTGAGCTTAAAACAATGGAAGAATATTTGAAGTTGGGCTCGGATCCAACAAACAAGTAGTTTAACTCTTTTCTGGGACGGATTGCATAATATACGTTCGAGGAATACTCTGATCGCTCTCTTACCTAATTACGAAAGCCGTGTATCGCGATCGCTCGATCTCATATTTCGCCCGCAAAATCTAGTGTATGCAACCCGGCCAACCGCAGAGTTAAAACAGTTGCATGTTGGTTCCGAACCCAAGTACGTATACCTCCCCATTATTCTTCTCGTTGTTATGAGTGAGAAGAGCGTTCCATTACCCCTGATGTTTAAAAAAAGGTTCAGATTTAATCGAAATGCTAAGTATAAATATTCCTTGTTCGTTTACCTGAACCGCAATCTGATAAAAAAAAGCACGGGGCATGAAGCAAATGCAAACTTGCAATGCAAATATAGAATTTGTATGAAATCTATTAATTAGAAGGTGGATTAAGATTCACGGTCAACTTATGGACCTTTAATGTCTTAAATCGAACCCATTCTAGGGAAAGAAGAGCGTTTCAAATACAGAGGGAAAGAAGGAAGTAAAATTTAAAAGTAAGTAAGTAAGTAAAGCAAAAATTAAAGTAAAATTTTAAAATCGAATGGTGATGATTCTAACTCTCTAAATTTCTTATTTACGAAGAATGAAATGCCGTGAATAATATCCGTTAATATTTTGTTTTTGGCGCAACTTTCTGCATTCAATTTTCCTTCGTTTGAGAGGGTAGGCAATATGCACTCCCAAGAGTTTAAATAGTGGTATCAGAATCTTCGGTCTTGTTTATTTATGAGTGCACATATTATCAGTGCACTAACCCTTTCTACCACAACAAGTAAAGAGAAGAGAATGTGCAACAGAAATTTTAGATGTATTTTGGACCCTTCTTTTTCCTTTTTTTCTTTCCCCACTTTCTCTTTGTATTCTGCTCCCTCGTATTCTTAATGTTAGACCGACTTAATTAGAAAAGAATCGGCCCATCTTTGCGAAAAATGGCTCGAGTGAAAAGTTTAGCACCACTATTCATGTACTTTACTGAAAACTTACTGAAGTGATTTACTGAAAACTTACAGGACTCAAACAATTTGAACAAGATTACATCTCTCCGATCTGAGTCTTCCAAGTCCTCGCATATTCAAGAAAATGTGATTGCAAACAAACCATTTGGGCATGAATCTAACGAAGATTCCATCCAGCAAAAATTTAATGATGATATCAACGCCAGTCACTGCGCGCCAGGACCGATCGAGTCAATGGGGAATTTACATACATTAGTAAGTGAAACGTTTCTATCTCAAGCCATCAACAAAGATCTGAAGGCAGAAACACATGCATGGGATCTCTATAATTACAAAATTCCAAAAAAAACAGTCGTCGAGAAATGTTCGATGAGCTCAAAAACCACAACAAATCTCTCTCAAAAACAGAAAAAAGTAACCGCGCAGCACTGTCATATTTTCAATAGAAAACCTATCGTATCAAATACAACAGATAACTCAGTTTGCAACAATTCAACCGATAAATCTGCAATTGGTAATTATGGCGGTAAAAATCACCCTAAAGATTCTAAAGTACGGACTGAACTCTCGTGTAAAGCAAATCTTTTTCATTTGAATAAAAAGCCACCAAGCCTTGAAAAATCCGAAACTTTTTCTTCGTCATGTGAACATGCTACCCAAAAATGTGGGCGCAGTAATGGAGACGGTAGAATAACAAGCAAGAAATTGTGTCCATCCCTAAATTTAGCAAAGGATTCAGGAACACATCCAAACTCAAATGAAAAAAGACAGTCGGTAAGAGCAGAAAAAAATAAATGTATGTCCTTGATGTTACCAAAACATGGGATCAGCATGAAACGGACATTCAAGCATAAGATTCCTTCCCCGAAAGTGTCGAAGGTGGAAGACAACCTTTGTCATAAGATAATTCAGCATGGACCATTGGAGCAAGTTGAGCAGAAAACTAAATGTTTTATTCCGTCTCTTGAAAGAGAATCAAATAACCACAAGGAATCTGTTGCTGGTAAGAAAAAAGAAGTTTCATCTGTTAAGACACTGAAATCGTTAGCAACCTCGGTGTTAGAAAATAATGTCCTCCCTCGTGTAAGCATAAAGAGGTTGTCATCAAAATTAATTGCTAATTTTGGCACTGCTTCTTCTACTTCACCTAAAAAACCCTCATTAACCGAGCAGTTACGTGAAAGATCAACCATAAGCATAGAAGCAGATTTTTATGGGAGTGCTTTCTCCAATATCAAAATTCCAAAAGGAGTAACTCTGATTAAATGTGTGGTAACTTTAGAGAGGTCATCGTCTCTTCTTCTAGGGGGTGAAAAGATAGCTATGCCAAAGTTTCACAACATCATCACCAAATCGTCTTCATCAAAAGCAGATATGTCAGCTCATGAGAGTTCAAGTGGCACACCAGCAGTCAGTGAATTAAGCAGTATGAAGAATTCTACAGGTGAAAACCTAAGCACTGGACTTTTGTATAAAGTAGAGGATACTTATCTGAGTAATCAGCTAAATGGCTGTAATCAGGTTAGCACATTTCCTATATCATCAGAGCACACGGTCAAAAATTGCGGGCAAACTAAGGACAATGACATATCTTTCAAAAACAAATTTGCATCCTCAGATTTATCAAAAGAGTTAGTCACGCATGCAGATTTCAATGGAAACAGGCAGTCTCAGAGCATAGAGATAACACCATCATTAATTTCAGAAGATGGGGGTAACATGAAGAGTGCCTTTGTGTATAAAATTCCCCCCATCAAAATCTCAAAAGGAGACAGCAACATTTGGCAGATATTCCAGCATCAACCATCGGACCAAACAGCACCAGAAACGGACAAGTTACTTTCGCCACCTGAAGCAGAAGCAAACATACATACGGAAACTGACACCACCGATATAAACGAAGTTATATCTTCAAGGGAACCAAAATTGTCAGCAATCTTGACACTAGACAGGGATGACTTCTCTCGTGAAAACGCAGAGAAGTGTTCACCAAAATTAATTTCGAATTTTGGCACTACTGCCTCTATTGAAAATGAGCAATCATCATCAGAGGGACAGTCACGAGAAAAATCAAACAGAGAACTAATAAGAGAACTTTATGGGAGTGCTTTCTCTAATATCAAGATTCCAATAGGAGTTACCCTAAAGAGATGTAATGTAACTATACAAAGGGTATCATCTTCTCTAAGTGACAAAAGGAGAGTTATGCCTGAGTTTCACAACTTTTCCACCAAATCTAGTTCATCGAAAGCAGGTGAGTCGTCTCATTGCAATTCAAGTAAAGAAAGAGCAATGAGTGAATTTGGCAATGTGAAGCGTTCTACACATGCTAAATCACACACTAAATTCTCACAAAAAGCAGAAAAAATGCATCTAAGTAAAAGGCCGGGAAAATTCAAAAAATGCGAATATTTTCCCGTGTTATCAGAATATTCTGTCCCAAAGTGGGAAAAAAGGAGCAGAAACAATGAAATATCATCCGACAAAATGTTTCCATGTCTGGATTTATCTGAAAAACCAGTCACAGATGTAGATCTTAAGCAAACTCATAACAACAATAAAAAATATTACACGTATAAGATTCCTCCCATCGCAATTTCAAAAGCAAACGGCAACATCTGGAAAGTAAAACAGCATCAACCAATGGATTCAGCTGTATCGAAATTGGGTGATTCTCTGCCGATGCCAGAAACAGAATCGAACAGTGGAAAATATGATGCTCCCAATTCGAATGACGTTTCATCTAAGAGCGCATCGAAATTGTTATCAGCCTGGGGTTTGGATGAGAAGGTTGTTCCTCAAGAAATCGTGGAGGAATGGGCACTAAATTTAACTTCCACTCTCGATGATTTGAAGCTTCTAATAAAATTACAGAACCCAGCGAACAATCTGCAAGAAGACAGTTGCACGAAAGATAAAAAAACAGAGACCTGAGAAAGAGCTATTGCGTCAACTGTAATATCAGTCTTATAAATCGATATGTATCGATTTCCCATGTCTCGATGATATCAGAAACTACACCAACTATCAGCTGATATTGTTTTAGGTTACTTTAATGGCTCGAATCCTGTTTGGCTGAAAAATGAGTTCCTGAAAAATGGTTTTTCAATATACTTTGAAACATTATTTACTGTAAAATCAGATTTTTCCCCCTTGATTATTATATTCTTTTGTCCTATTTCTTGGTTTTTACAAAAATTCTAGTCTTCAAAATTTTTAGCTGAATTCTCATTTTTTTAAAAATTCTTCTATTATTTATTACATAGTTAAATGAATTTTAAACATCAATTTTTAATCGTGTATTTTTCTTACTTCAATTTAAAAGGAAAAAAATACCTTCAAGTGTTGCAGTAACCAACTTGTTTTTTTTAAGCGTGCCAGTAGGGCTCGCTTTTTGAAATCACTCGGATGTACCATAGTACAGCACACCGATCAACCAATGCTATTCAACGGGCCGTCCAAATATTTTTTTCCTCGGACCCGTTTTCTTGTCTTTGAACCATTATACTGTCAAGCCCTGATGGTCTCTTACCAAAAAACCGAATGAACTGCTAATTGGGAACCCTTGAGAACATTTTCCTGTCAAAACCGTATTATTTCATTTGACAAAAACCTCATAGAAGCTTTCTTACGCTCGGAGGACTCAACTCTAGAACCTTCTTTCCCGCCAAAACTGTTGAGCCAATGAGCGTCTTGCACTGCAAGTGCAATCTGTGATGAGCCTCGTGACTCTTTATACCACGTACTAACCGTGGCCCCTGCAGAAATCCACTCAAACCACTGCAGTTATCTCCCGATATAGCTTTGGGTGTCAGGTTTCGAGCAAGGCAATAAAAGACGGCGAGGAGAGGGTCGCTTCGTCGAACCTATTATCTTCCACGCCCGATTAACCATTCACCGTGACGCCAGGATCCACCAAATTTTCACAAAAATTGTTTTCCGTCTATTTAGCGAGTTTTTCCTTACTTTCCGTTAGTGTACAAATAAAAAGAGACCTCATTTGTAAAAATCGGCCGAATAGGAGAGAAGTTACAGTTCGAAATCCAAAGAGATTAACTCAACGCGATTTCGATGCACGGCAGTTCGCCCAAATCACGGTCGTGCGAAATGCCGCATATCAGCTTAAAATCAAGATAATTGGACGGAATCTTTAAAATCAATTTACATTCAACGTTCATGAATCAATATTTTCTCCCAAATTTAGCAAAAAGTACCAATTGATGCAAATAACAAAGACGTGAAAATAGTAGGTATGTGTCCAACATTTTAGTTATTCGGCACGCTTTTCCAACATATTCATGTTGGATTTTTCTGCTTGTTTTTTTTCTTTTGGTTGGCATGACTTTGATGCAAAGGCTTTCAGAAATTTAGAATCAAAACTTTTTTTCAAACGTTAAGTCTCGTTAAAAATCTTAATTGTGATCTAACCACCAATTCTAGATGAATTCTTGTGAGATCCACTTTGTTCCATTTAAAAGGGAAAATAATTAGAAAAGCTGATGCATTTCATACCACTAAAAAGGATCGTTTGCGACACAATAATGTATGTCATAGTAGCGCATCGCTTCATCCTCTCATCCAATGTTTATTAGCGAAGTGTCTCCACGTGGACCTTCACTTTCATGGAGGCTTATTCACTCGAAACCATTGGATGAGAGAATGAAGCGATGAACTTCTCTGACACATTAAAATGCTTACCATCTTCACCAAAACTAAAACGTAACATTTACGACAAAGTAAGAGAAAATAAGAAAATTTTAGGTATATAAGGAAATCAAACAAGAAGAGGAAGATTTTTCCAGTCGATGGACTGAACTTAATAGAAGATGATCCGTATACTTGATTCATGACGTCACCCTTCTGACGTAAGAGTGTATCTCGATTTCCTTGTGAGCCCTATTTCACCTGTAAATCCATGCTTTATGGGGGTCATGCGGGAATCGAGATACGTTTTTACGTCAGAGGAGCAACGATGAGAGGTAATTATTTCACAAGCAACGAGTTTCACTGGAGAATCAAGGGTAATTGATTGCATTACGATTAATTATGCAATGATTCACAATGAAATTCAAAAAATGGGAAGCCTGATTCCTATATTCCTCTTATAAAAATGTGTCATGCATCGGAAACTAATTTGTAGTGAATACAGCGCAAGGCTCAGGCTCTCAGTTTGAGAATGCGTAAATTGCAGGGAGCATTACCTCACTAGGTAATGAAAATCTTGATTTATGCTTCATTTATCACTATTCTCCTGTGCGATTACCTGAAATGGCTATTATGAAAGATGATTCCTTGACGAATGACAAAGTTCCAGCTGCATGTTTTGGTTTATTGACACTTCATTCTCCGGTCTTGGCACGCAAGACGTACAGTGCTCTCTTCCAATTCCGTAATAGTTTAATGTTTTGCAAGCTCTGGATTTCAATATTTTCTTTTATCAGCTCTGAGGAAATGTTTGAAGAAAATCAATTTCAGCCTAAGTAGGTGTAGACTTTTATTTGCAAATGAAAGTTAATTTTCCGCTCAAAATTTTGCACTGCGTTTTTTCGCAACCTTACACTTTAACAGCTAACAAACAAGGAGTGATCTTCAATTTTCATCTACATATCTTACACTAATCGTTTTTAGATCTCATGATAGGTAATTATGATTATGCAGCGCTTCGAGATGAGATAGATAAGTAGGGTATTATGTACACCTTGCGAATAAAAATCTTCAATTGTGCGTTGAGAATTTTACGGCAGAACAGCCTATCGGAACATTCATTCCACGCAAATTTTTTACTCAGCCATGAACATAATTTTCTGAATTACTAATATCCGCTTACAATGCATTTCCAGTAGTGGAGTTTTACGGTGACAATATGGTTTTGGGCGTTTTTTGTCCTTTAAAAGTCCTTCCTTATAAAGTAGGTTACATAATATTTTATTTTTTAATTTGCCCCACATGTGTCTCATTTACGGTTCACGTTTTCTAGGAGTGATGTGGCCCCTAATTATTACAAGAAACAACTCTCGTGGTTATGAATGTGGATATAAATTTTGAGTCAACAATTCAACAATTACAATAAATCAGTCACAAAGGGCTTGATTTTTTTGGAGGCATTTGCGAATGGTTAAGTTATTGATACAATTTGCCTGAAGTTAATTGGAATAAAGCTACCGCTTTGTTGTGTAAATGAGCAGTCTACATATCGTGTGACAGCATGTTTTGACGACCAAATATCTTTACCAAATCTAAAAACTTTCCTCCTGAAATGGAAGAATTTAGTAAGTCGAACAATAGGAGCATGGCAAACATTGGAGGACTTTCGATCATACAGGAATTTTCAATGAAAAGTTGTGCATTTACAAGAGTGGACCATGGCAAGAGCAATGTTGTTCAAACTGGATGTACCGATGGAAACCAAGGAGCTCCAGTTGACTTAAATAAAGTCATTCGCCTCGTGGAAATCCTGAAACAGTGTCAGAAATTTTTTACTCGCAAAGAATTTAAAAATTTACTCAAGCACAGAGCAGTGCGGTCAAGTTTAAGTGGTATTGCAGATTTGTACAATAAAGGACGTATCAGTTTAGAGAAAAATGCAATAAACTGTATCATTTCATTTCTTCGGCTTATAAAGAAAAGAGAAAATAGTTGCAAGAAAAATAAAAGTAACGGAGAAACAACTAAAAACAAGCTAGAGTTAAAACTATCGGTTATGATCGCAGATTTGAAGATGAAAAGTACCTCTCGAGACTTGATTCCTAGAGGGGGAAGAACACCTTGCAATAAAAGACAAGAATCTTCATCCCAGGCCTCAATTTCTACGCGCAATATCACTGGCAGAAAACCGCGAAGAAAATCTTTATCAAAATCTATGTCAAGGTCTAGATCTAGATCTCCTCCTCTTAGAAGAAATCTTTTTCCGCGGAGGGACCATTATCGTCCAAGTCCCCCGCCGAAGCGAAAAAACTCATATTCGAGGTATCGAAGGTAAGTTACTCTGAGTTCTTTTAGTGTGCTTCTAACTTTGTGACTTTGTGACTTTTAGTGACTTTTTCAAGCGACTCCTTTTTTTGATTCGCACGTTCGTTCGTTTCGAAGAATAAGTATATTGAAAAATTTAAAACAGGAGCCGAAGGAACAATTGACTTTTGGTGCACGTTAATTTTACTTGAAAGAGACACTCACATTCAGTTTTATTTCATGGACCCTTTCTTTAAGAGCAAAATATAATTTTTGATGGTGAATAGGGACCATTGAGAACGGAAGAAAATGGGCCACTTGCGTTAGTCATAGAATCGTGTCTTGACGCATGATTCTTTTAGATTAGCAGAAAATAATAGGATCTGTCCAAACAGCAACTTTCTACGTTCAATATTAACCGAGATATTGCCCTTTTAAAAGTCAGGTTTTTGACGTCATCCACCGCGGTAGTGACACCCTTGGTCTCTTCCATCTCGGATTTAGCAATTAGTAATACACACATATGCAGTGGTTACTCAGCGTGAAACACGGATGAAAGCAAGGAGGAATAAACCAATGATGTCACTACCGTAGCGTATGACGTCATAAACCGAACTTTTCATTGCGCGATATCCTGGTTTATGTTGAACGTAGAGAGTTGCTGTTTAGACAGATCTTATAATTCTCAGCTAATCTACAAGAATCAAGCATCAAAACACGATTCTCCGACCAGTACAACTGACCTATTACTTAGGACAGCAATCAGGGCCGGATCAAGGGGGTGGCCACATGGGCCGCGGCCCATGGCGGCAAATCTAGAGGGCGGCCAATTTTGCACTTTTTTTAAATGTAGGTATAAAAAAATATCGGAATTAGAAAAAAAAATACAAACGAGAAAAGGCGACAAAATCTGTCATTTCCTGAGAGTATAGTAATTTTTAATTTTGTCGTCTTTCAGTGATACAAGAGACAGCACCTTTAAGTAGTCGAGTTAAGAGAGAAACCAAACACGCAATTTGGCCTGAAACGGCGCGGCGCAGAAAGCAATGATGACGAGGACTTGAGATGAAAAGGAGAAGCCCCCGGCGCGGCGCTTCAATCGGCATGTAACACATATTAGCGCCTACAAGAATGCATGAATACTTCACGCATTGCGCCAAACACAGTGCGGTCAGCGCGAGACGCATGCCGCCTACAAGACTGCGTGAATACTTCATACATTGCGCCAAACAACGCGTCTGCGCGGCACGGCGCTGGAAGTTGAAATCATTAAACCACATTCATGTTTGTTCTTTCATAATTTTTTTGTTCATTTCTTATGAATGAAAGGCCTTGTCCACGCAGAGATTGGTTTACGAAACTTAACTTTTGCTAGTAGTGTTGACAGGGCATTCCCAAAACATGTGTTCAACACGAGTAAACGCTCCTTATGCACCCCTCCCCCGCTGGCACGTTCAGTTGATGGTTTTTATTGATGTTTCAATACGAATGAGAAGGAGGCGGCAAAATACAGGCGGCCCATGGGCGGCAAGTAGGTAAATCCGGCCCTGACAGTAATTACTGTCGGAAATCGGACTTATGTTTCAACGAAACTTTTCCTAGTGTCCGTATGAATAAGTTGCGAGTAGTTCACTTAATTATCGTTCGAATAGGCGGCGTCATAATAGTCCGCAAATTTTGCACCCTGAACAAAGTGGATTGAAATTAGAAGTAGCTGTTCCTCATAAATACTACGCCTCTGGAAATGCGGACTTCAAAGTTCAAATCGGCATTACTACAATTTAGTTTAACATTTTCATGCGTTCTTTTATCCCGTAAAGCCAACATGTGCGTAGAGCACTACTTTTGGCTCTGATATTAATAATTTCACTGTAAGTTTTTGCAGGCTAGAACCCTTTCCTCGTTGACGGTCACATGTACTGCGCGCTAAGTTGAAACGCCGTATGAACATTCAGACGTTGCCAGATTTCATTCAATAAAATGTTTATTTTTGAGGAATGTTAAGAATATTTTTCTTCCAACTTTTCAGATAATTTTGCTCGCAAATTCACCTGAAACTCCAAAAAATTTCAAAGCAAAATATTCCTAACTTCCCTCAGAAATAAACATTTTGTCGAAAGAAATTTGGCAACTCCCGAATGTTCATACGACGCTCCTCCTTAGCACGGCAGTATACGCATTACATTTGAATTTCATAGGTCTGGATCCTGGTCTCCGCTTTCAAGTTCTCGTAGCCGTTCCCGTTCAAGGTCTCATTCGCCACTAAGAAAAAGGGATTACTTCGATAGCAGAGAAAGCAGATCACGATTTCGAGATCACCCCTTCAAATATTATGAAGAATCCTCAACCTCTAAATGGCTGCCGCGCTCCAAGAGGCCAAAAAGTCCTGCGGGTCTTATTAGAGAAAAAATACACCCCAATCGACGGTCTCGCAGATCTTGGTCTCCATCCATGGCGTCATTAAAGAGAGAGGTAGATATGTTGAGAATAGAAAACCAAACTGCTCTGAAGGACCTACGGGAATTGTTGGCACATAATTATAGTTCGTCCAGTTCAACAACTCATGACGTCGGTGTAGTAAGTACAAACTAAATGCATTACACATGGAATATAAGTTTAATTTTCCAAAGCAAACTTTCGAATCAATGCTCAGTTGCAAATTAGAATATCCAATCTAGACTTTTTCTTATGAGTCAACTTAAAGTTCTGAGTCCTAAAGTCTAAAGTTCCATATTTGACGAGGACGGATTCTTTCCTGAAACTTACCCTGCAACTCGAATTCAATTATTAGAGTATTGATTACGGCTGCAGTGGGTACTTTAAAGAAAAAATTCAGATATTTACATATTTTTAACGGTAAAAAAAGTTCAAAAAGCCGAAAAAATATTTTTACGATAGTTTTTCGATGATGGAATTTGCTACGATTTCACATATCAACGGTGTAACTACAAGACCACGTATCTCGTTTGTAGTGTTTGAAAGTCTCTGTTCCCATTTCATTTTTTGAACGGAGAACGAATCAATTTCATGCCTTGAAGTTTCCACAGAGTTAACTTCGCACAGAGAAGGAAAATCACGGAAGTTTTCAATCACAGTGGTTTTCCGTGTAAAAAATAAAGTATGATAGGAAGTCTACGACGTTGCAAACCGAGATACGTGGTCTGGTAGTTTCATCGTCGGTATGTAGGTGGATTCAGTTCATAAGAAAAAAAATCGGCCCATGTTCAAGCAAAACTGTTTCGAGAGTTATTTTTAGCTCCACAAGTTAGTGTAATTTCTCTTTTAAAAAATTAGAAGTCCCTTCAAAGATTATAGGTTTTTCAAACGTGCAATCCAAACCCATCCTCGATATCATTTCTAAGAACGTTATTGAAATGTCAGACTCACTTTAAAGGTGCGGTGGCGTTTGCGGACGTGGCGTTTGCGAACTCCAAGAATCCGGTGGCGTTTGTGGATTCTTATATTTTGATGGTGGCGATTGCGGAAAGGCGGAACAAGGCCGGTGGCGATTGCGGAAAGGCGGAACAAGGCCGGTGGAGTTTGCGGACCAGAGAATTTCGGCGGTGGCGATTGCGGACGGAGGGGTTGGCACTTAATTATGCTTCCCCCCACCCCTGAGCTGTATATTAAAGAAAAAAATTACCGGAGAGGCTTAAATATTATTTATAAAAATATAATTGAAAACATACGAATTAGCTGGGTTTTATGTAATATTTTGTCATTTGAAATGACAATAGCAAACTCAACAAAAACTTCGAAATCATAAGTTCAAAACCGCTGACGCCGCAAGTTTGAATAATCACATCAAACACAGTGGGCCGGCACGCACGGCGCACAGTAGCGCCTTACAAGACCGCAGGATACTTCATGCATTGCGCGTACGGCACGGTGCGCGTGACGCGGGGTATAGCGCCTTACAAGTCTGCAGGATACTTCATACATCGCGGGTATACCACGGTGCGCGCTCAAGTCGTTGAAAAGTTGTATTTTCTTGGTGTCGAACCTACCCCGAAGTACCCAATTTCCGAATAAAGCACACCGCCAGGCTCTGGATTCCTTTCCGTGGATGAAAAAAAATATTAGTATTAAACAATAGTATTATATTAGTATAAAAACATATGAGTAGTGAACATACGGTAAATTTTTAAAAAAGGCATATCAGAAATCAAGAAACTAATAAATCGTCAGTTTCAGTCCATTTTTAGGATTCAAAACATGTTGTAAATTCTAGTCCAAAATTACTGAAAGTAAAAAAATTACATATGAAAAATGAAAACACATAGGTACATAGGTACAAACTGCCGTGCTATGGAAAAACGCCGTATGAACATTCGAGAGTTGCCAAATTTCCTTCGATACAATGTTTATTTTTGAGAAAAGTTATGAATATTTTTCTATGAAATTTTCAGGTAATATGTATTAAAGTGCGAACAAAATTCTATGAAAAATTGGAAGAAAAATATTCATAAGTTCTTGATCTCTGATATGCATGTTTTAAAAATTTACTGCATGTTCACTGCTCATATGTTTTTATACTAATATAATACTAATATTTAATACTAATATTTTTTTTCATCCACGGAAAGGAATCCAGAGCCTCTCCGGTAATTTTTTTCTTTAATACACACCGCAGGGGTGGGGGGCAGCATATTTAAGTGCTTACCTCTTCGTCCGCAATCGCCACCGCCGAAATTCTCTGGTACGCAAACTCCACCGGCCCAGTTCCGCCTTTCCGCAATCGCCACCATCAAATAGCACATGGAGTAAACATGAAAACCCTGGAACTTTTCGGATTGAAATTGCCGCTTTTAGGGTTCATTCACCATATTTTAGAGGATACTTTACATGCGTACATAGCGCCAGAGTCGGCGCAGAGCTGCGTGGGCGTGGCGTTTTCCGCTCAGTTATAAATTCGCCTTCACTTTGCATAGTTAGGCAATTTAGAGCAGGTGTACAAATTAAGATTTTTCTAAAAATCTCCTCAGGCATTTTCTCATTCATTATCAGTAAGAACTAATTTCCTTGCGTGCCCACCTATAGGGACTAATTCTATCAATCCATTCTTTGTTGCAGCCAAGCAATGTCCGTCAAACGGATTCGATTTCGCGTCTCGTTGTGAAATTGAAAGGAGATTTACGCATTACACGTTTCAATAAGGAGTAAAAATGCCAAAACGAAATCCGAGTACACAAGTCCCATAGAAAATACCGATGTAAAAGCATGGCATGGACCATGCTAAATAATTATCCTCGCAAAGAAAAAAAGAAACTTGGTATAAAGAGGAAAACGTTACACAGACTTTCATTTTTACATGCTCTCGATGACACGTTAATTTGTGTTTTTGCATGTTATCATATCCACATAAAAATAAGGATTGTGTTACTATAAAATATCTAATTTGGGTTCTGCTCTGTTTGCAGCCATCAAATCCATATTCAAGTTACCTTCCAACCCGGAATGATTTCCTTGCCCAATACGGAGCCACTGTAGAAGATCAGTGCTTCTCAGTCTCTGAAACCAGCCCCCAAACTCAATCAAACGGTCAAAATTCTTATCAAATTGTGTATAAGGGTTCAAACCAATTTCCTGGACCAAGCATGTCTTCATATTCGCCACCTAGCAACGAATTTTTACCAGAATCTGCAGAGCAAATAAGTCTATCAAAGCAATCGTGCATTATGCATGCACCTTTACCTACTGTATCGCCTCCAGATGTATCGCATGTGCGACTGCACCTTCCATATTCTGATATTCTAACTTATCCTTTTCCTTCAATGGATACTTTAGTGACACCTTCAATTTCGCCATTACCTCCATCCACGTTGAACGAATTTAAATCTCTGAGAACCACTAAATCGTCCAATGAGCCAGTTTTAAATGAATCAAGTACTGAACAACGGTTTTCAAAAGAGATTGAACATGTTGAGAATATAGAAACACAAGTAAAATGCTGCGAAGTAGAAAGGATTGAATACTCTGGAGAAAGGGTCAATATTGTCAACCCAGCATCGATTTTAGAAAGTTTAAGTGACGAAATTGAGAGACATGTTAACATCTTTAGCGTGAACAAACTGTCTTTTGAAACATCGACAGGCGACAATGATACGGTGAATAGCTCAGAGCAGACGAATGCGATTGATCCATCATACATTGAGAACAGTAAAAGAGAAAAAGTAAGTGTAACCGATGAATCAGCAGTTTGTAAATTTGACAATAAGAAACATCGTAAAGTTGATGAAATAGAAGGTGAACTATGCGAGTCGCGTAAACCACGACTGACGCATTTGAATAAAGGAACAGCAAACCTTGAAAAATGTACAACTTCTCCATCGTCTTGTGAGCACTCCATCAAAAAAAATGGGCAAAATAATAGAGACTTAGGAATGGTAGTTAATGAAATGTTTCCATCTCTTATTATATCGGAAGAATTAAATACTCATGAGGAATCTGACACTGCCAATATAAAAGAAGTTTTATCCGTAACTTCACCGGAATTGTTGGCAACCCTGATGATAGACAAGATGGACCCCTCTCGTGAAAACGTAGAGAAAAAGTCATCAAAATTAGATTCTAATTTTGGCACTGTTTCCTTCAACAAAAATGAGCAACATTCACCACGCGAACGGTTCCATAAAAGATCAACCAGAAACATGATGCAAGAATTTATCGGGAATGATTTCTCTAAAATCAAGATTCCTATAGGAGTAACTCTAAAGAAGTGTTCGGTGCCTTTAGAAAAGACATCAACTCTCCCTCTGGAAGGCAAAGGGTCAGTCATGCATAAGTTTCATAATTTAACGAGTAAAGCTGTTTCAACTAGGACGGGTGAGTCAATTCATCACAGTTCAACGGGCACACCAGCATTTAGTGATTTCAACAGTATGAAGCGATCTAAAAATGCAAAACTACCCACTACTCTCTTGTATGAAGCAGAAAAGACTCATCTGAATAGTGAGCCAGTAATAAGCTCCAAAAAACTTAGAAATTTCTCTTTGTTATCTGAAAATCAGCAACAACCATCGGACCAGGTACCACCTAAAATGGCAGAATCTCTTTCGTGTCTAAATGAAGCAGAAACAAACTTTCATACGGAATCTGATGCTACAGTTATGAGCGAAGTATCGAAATTTGCAAGAATGCCGACATTATTAGTAGCCTTGAAAAGAGGCAAGGGCGACCTTTCTCGTGAAAACGTAGAGAAGCAGTTGCCCAATGTAATGCATGATTTTGGCACTAATGCCTCTATTAAAAATGAGCAATCTTCACCAAGCGAACAGTCAAGCGAAAATTCTAACAGGAAACTGATAAGAGAGCTTTATGGGAGTGGTTTCTCCAATATTCAGGTTCCATCAGGAGTCGCTCTTAAGAGATGTATGGTGACTTTAGGCAGGAAATCAAATCTTCCCTGTCCAACGGGCAAAAGGTCAATTATGCCACCAAATATGTATAAAGAATCTGATGCTGCCAGTGTGAATGAATTTTTATCTAACGGGTTAACAAAAGTGTCAACTGCAGCCTCGGGTCTAGAAAGGAAAGTCCTACCTTGTGAAAACGAAGAAAAACGATCGCCAAAATTAGCTGTTACACTTGATGCCATAGCCTCTGATGAAAAAGAAGATAGCGGCAGACTATCTGCTAGCAATCAGTCACAGGAAAGGCTAAACCGCGATATGATAATAGAGTTTAATGGAATTGCCTTTTCAAATGTAAAGGTTCCCAAAGGAGTCATTCTTAAAAAATGTATGATTTCTTTAAAAAGAACATCTATAGCCAGCCCCTCAGGAAAATAAAGACTTGAGATACAGGGGTATAATTCAGATTCGGACATGAATACGCTGAAGGTAGGCATGAACCGAAAAAACGTGAAATCATTGATGGAACCGGGTCAGATGTTGAGACGGCAAGGTTCTCAGCGAACTTTTTTTTTTTTTTTTTTTTTTTTTTTTTTTTTTTTTTTTTTTTTTTTTTTTTTTTTTTGTGGGCATGACTGTGGTGCAAGTCTCCTTCAAAGTCTTACATAGTACGCAAATTATAAAATGTAGCATTTAATGTATCATGTGTCTATTCATTACAAAACTTATTGCAATTTACTTTCCAAGGAAAGGTTTTTAATATATTTGTATTATCATTGACCTTTTTAAGTAAGTCTTTTTTTCTTCAAGAAAAGAGTGTTTTTAAAATTCTGCAGAAGTAAATTTGCTGTTCAAGAGAGGCTATTTTAATAAAACCGCTTTTCTAGAAGACAAATGAGATTATGTACTTTTGGAAGACTTCTTTTGGGTTAAGTATACAAATAATCCGTAATTCGTTATAAAAAAATTACGTTCTTAACCTCATACTGCAAAAGCTAGCTTAAACGTGGTCATGAAATACAATAAGGAGAAAAAAGATTATTCTTTTCGGCGAGTACTTTTATGCTACCGCACAGTGGACCGAGTCAACGGGAGAGGTCGGTCAAGGATTTCGTTACTCAAATTGCAATTTTTGATGTTTATTTTGTCTAATTTTAAATTTTAAGGGATGCTTCTGAGAGCAAAATGCACGAGAAAACCAATGGGGCCACTTTTAAAACCTCAAAGTTTTGTATAAGCGACAGTATAAGCTTTTGAAGTTTCCAAATTTTGTTCGGCCTCGCCAATTGATTCGATCCATTGTGTGGCGTTTGCGAAGACTTACCTGCTCGCGGTGTAGATTATAAGCGGGAGCCGAAGCGCGTTCATCGCGCAGGTGGTGAGGTTTTCAATGTCACTATTAATTACCCTGGCTCCGATAATTAGCATCTGGCAATATTTTTATCTTCCCTCAACCTTCCATACACCCAACTCAGCGATGATCCGACCACACAGCTGCCAGTCTGTGAGGAAACTTCATCAAACCTTCCTAAATTTGGTGCAAATTTCGACTGCACTGTTTAAAATTGCCGTGGCAATTCAGCAGCGTGAATATGATGTATTTCTTGCACAGACTACCACTTCTTAGCACACCAAACCCAATCTGAAGGTCCCGCACGAAAGATTTCGATGTACCCCACGGGGCAAATGATTCGTGCCCTTTTAGGGAACATCCTGAGTAAAATAGATTTTTTTTTAAATTATTTATTCGATGTTATCTGCTTACAAATTAATACAAACAATTTCCTTAAAATAATACAATAAAAAGTTTACAAAGATGTAACAGAGTAATATCTTATTTCCTTGGGCGATTTCGTTTTATGGAACAGCATGAGCGAAATGGAGCATATTCAAAAACTAATTGGTATGTCACACATACAAAATGCAAATTAACGATTGAAATTTTTTAAGGTAAAATTACCCAAAAATCACGATGATCACGTCAAAATGGTCTAAACCGTTCCTAATTGCACAATTCTAGACATTCTTATTGGAAGGGACTTATTTAATATTTTTAAAAAAAAAAAATATTCAAAATGTTCTAAGACGGAGGAAAAATGACACTTTCTAACTTCCCTGGAAAGGAGTCTGGGCGTTCGTCGTCCGAAACTGCAGCCTGGTTGTTCAAATTGATAGACAAAGAAGACAAAAGGGACGTGGAGGGATCCTATTGGTGGAAGCGGGTGGTTGCAATAGACAAAGGAGGAAGGTATTAGACTAACTAACAACAACCTACAAAAGAGTTTTCAGTTAGTCCATCATTTTCTCCCTTAGTCTAAAACATCCACCCATTTGAACCGATAGAATTGCTCCATACTCCCTATGCCTCTTTGTCTATTGCTTTGTCCATCAATTTCAACAGTCATCCCGCTGCTCCTTCTCAGTGGGCTGATTGTTGAAACTGATAGACAAATCTATAGACGAAGACGACAAAAGGGATATGGAGGGATCTTATTGATGTAAGTCGTTGGTTACAATGGAGAAAGAAAGTAGGTAATAGACTAAGTAACGGCAACCCACGAGAGACCCCGTAGTTAGTCCATCATTTTCTCCCTTAGTCTATAGGAGCCAACCATTTCAACCGATGGGATCGCTTCATACTTCATGTGTCTTCTTTGTCTAACGCTTTGTCTATCAATTTCAATAATCGGCCCAAAGCTTCTCTCTGAATCCTCGACTGCAAACTTCCAATACTGAGCACTTGTGAACACGGCCCTAACTACTCTGCCGTGCTAAGGAAGAACGCCGTATGAACATTCAAGAGTTGCCGAATTTACTTCGATAAAATGTTCATCTCTGAGGAAAGTTATGAATATTTTCCCTTAAAAATTTCAGAACTTTTCGGTGGTATTCCGAGCGAAATCATCTGAAAATTTTGGGAAAAAAATATTCCCAGCTTTACCAGTAAATTCGTATTTTATCGAAGAAAATTTGGCAACGCCTGAAGGTTCATATGACGTTTTTTCTTAGCACGCACTGGAAAAAATACACATTGGATTTAGAGTCCAGACTCTTAAAAACATCGACAAGAAAAAATACTCTTGATTCAATCAGATTTCTATACTATAAGCTCCAAGACCTCCTAATTTTGCGAAACTGGTGACGCTTAGTTCCAGCGTTCTACCGGGCCGATTTTCATGATTTTTGCGGCTATTGACGGGCAATTGTCTCTAAATAAGCCAACTCTTTTCAGATTTTGAAAATATGGCCCAGGTTTTTTTATATTACGTGGTAAAGTTGCGAATTCTCCCATATAAACAATGTAAATTTATACTTTTTGTCATAGTTCGTTTGAGCATTCTACTGGGCAGATTTCCATGATTTTTGCGTAAATCGACAGGTAATAGGCTCTAGATGAGCCCGCTCTAATCAGATTTTGGAAAAAGGACTCAGGTTTTTTTAAAATCACGTTATTAAAGTGAGTGAATTTACAGAGTGCTCCGGGACTGCTACCGCTATGCGCGGGAGGATGCGCAGTGGTCGAGGAGGTTGCGCAGTAGGTGTGTAGCCTGCGCATCAGCTCTACACTTATCTACACAAGATTTCCGCCGATTACCTCAAGACGAGCGGTGGCCGAGTCGTCTACGACATCGGAAGTGTCCACATTGATCAAGGTGTGGGTTCGATCCCCGCCTCCAGAGATACTTAATAATTATCCGATTTAAACTGATCGTTGTTTTACTGTAATACTTCATCAAGCGGTCATTCCAAAACGCGTCCTTTTGACTTCAAAAATTTTTTTTTTTCTTTATTCATCAAAACCAAAAATTTTTTTATTCTATTAAGTATACCTCATATCGAATTTTTTTAGGGGAAAAATAAAACTAATACTAATAGGAGGGTAAAAATAGGGCCGCGAAGCGGCCCATTGTTTGCGCGGAGCGCCTTCGGGGGGTTGGGCCGCGTAGCGGCCAGGGGGCGTAGCCCCCTAGTAAAACTATACTTCATCAAATTAAAAACTATATATGAGTCAAACTCAAAACCACTAAAACCTCTATATTCGTAGCTTCAAAATCACTGATGGCCTAATACTTTACATGTTAATACAGGAATTTTTATTTCATCCATTAAATACAAAATTCGAATAGACGGAAAAGCTAGATGCTTAAATCAAGAACCCAGCCTCTTAATTTGAGCGGATTTCCTTTCGATTTAAGCAAAAATCTGATTGAATCAAGAGTATGTTTTCTTGTCAATGTTTTCAAGAGCCAATGTGTTTTTTTTTTTCCCAGTGCGGCAGTACTATCGTAAGTCACAAGTGCCGAAAAGCCAATTACGAATCTCTTCACTACGACACGGCGCTCGAATCAGTGCAGACTTGCAAATTCGAGCCACACGCACGAGCCGGTAATATGCAAAACCTCGGTCGGCCCAATCCTCGGGTCAATGGCTGCCTTACGAATGATCGTGAGTCACGTCCGCAAAATTCGCACCGGACCGGCCGCCACATTCAAATTTCACCCAGGAAATCACTCCTTGTTAGTCAAAGTCTATCTATCCGACTCAACGTCGAACAATGTCGTATTAATGTGTTGTGTCTTGTTTATCCATCGCAAACGCCGATTTACGGAATTAGAAAGGTCATCTAACTTTAAATAGAAAGCTCCACTGTATTCGCAAAAAAGGACCCGTGTATCTTCTTATCTAAGGTGATAAGAATCATTGAGAATCCTTGGGGATCAATGAGGATTCATTAAGACTCATCAGGTGTTAAGGTCTTATAGTGTACAATGTCGTATTAATGTGTTGTGTCTTGTTTATCCATCGCAAACACATGATTCACGGAATTAGAAAGGTCCTTTAACTTTAAATAAAAGCTCCGCTGTTTTCGCGAAAAAGGACCCATGTATCTTCTTATCTAAGGTGATGAGAATCATTGGGTATCAATGAGGATTCATTAAGACTCATCTGGTGATAAGATCTTATAGTGTACATTTATCTTTACAATAGTAGTAAAAATGGGTAGTGCAACTTTATCTTAGAGGGTGCTTTCTCCGTGTACACGCACTTTGCGAAGCCAGGCGTGGTTCGGTTTTTTCATGGTTTAAATGGATTTTTAGTGAACAATAAACCGGTGTCACTTAGCAAATCTTTACGGTAAGAATTTGAACTTCCTCACAAACTGAACTTTTTTGCAATTCTCATATACAATCTAAGAGAAAATTGACATGAGTATTTTGACGATATTGGTGGTTTTGCTTGGTCCAGGCTCTAACGATGATTTGAGCCGTAGATAAAGATGTCAACTGTGGAACCTTAATTGCACGCAAGCACGCAACTTAAATTGCGGTGTTTAAAATTGTCGTTCCGACATTGTTTTTTTAGTAGACTTTTTCCATACTCTTTTTCCGAAATTTTCAGAAAATATTCTCGATGAAACTGAGAAAGAATAAAAGTTGTTTTAAAAAAATAATGATCAGGCAGCCTTCAAGAAGTTGAATAGCGCGAGAGAATTGTAACGTCGCTATACCTAAGGTATGTTATTTCATCTAAGACACATGCTTCCAGTTCGACGGAAGACAACGTTTATCGTAATGTAGGCTCTCATCATATACAGGAATACATACATATTATACAGGAATGTTGAGTGTATAATTAAAATTACTTTTAAATCCGTCGAAAAAAAACCCTTATGAAAAAGTATCTTTGTATATATTG